CCAGCTCCCGGGAGGCAGGGCCCACCAGCATCTGCCCGGGCATGGCTTCGGCACACACAGCCGAGCCTCCGTAAATCTCCACAAACACGGCGGCCGCCTGCACACTCTTCCACGTCGGGACGGAAAAGCTGCATATGGCGCTCGGTTTTAACAGCTGAGCTTTAAAAAAGTGCAGCTTTTCATCTCACTGAACCAGCTCCCAAATTAAAGGGTGGGGGAGGGAGAGAGAGGAGGCAGGAAAAGAGAGAGGCTGGAGTGGACAGGGGGAGCCTTCCACGCTAAATTTGATTTTATAAGGAATTTCAGACTAGTATCTGCTCCAAAGGTCCCTCTGGAAAATGAAATCACAGTCCCTGTTTGTCATCCCCAACTTTACTAATTTCATCCTTTAAAAAATAACTTTTCTTTTTTCTGCTTTTAATAAAAATGAAGGAGTCTATCAACGAAGAAATCACTCACATGCCTTAGATTGGGTTAACAATTTTTAAGCAAATTTGTAAATGGGATTATTATTTTCCAAAGTTCTACTCAGCGAAGAGATTAGTGGCCACAATGCCCAGGGGCCGTCCCCTGGTCCTTTTAATTCCCGGCCTGGAGGTGGAAGGTGCTGGGAGAGGAATGGGAGGGAGAAGCCTGATGGAGGGCAGTTTTCCTGGAATCGCCTGGAAACTTTTACTTTCTGTTTCCGCTGCTGATAGTGACTGTCTTCGCTCTGCATCCAGCCCCCCGCTCCTCTCCCAGCCCCCTGTTGCTGCCTGCCATCCCCGAGCTCCAGTATAAAGTTTGGCTTCTGCAGCAGGAAGCAGCTGGGCCAAGCAACCAGCGAATGATAATGACCTCAGAAATCTGCTGTTCGCTCGGCAACAATAGGGTGCTCAGTCTACTGGAAAATTGTGTTCATCAGCTAACTCTGCTCAGTTACTAATTGACATTGCCAAATATTTTAAGAACAATTGGAATGCACAAGCAAAAAAAAAAAAAATTTTGAAGATCTTAATCCTCAGACTTAAATGTTTTTCTTTTTCTTTTTTTCCCTTCTTTCGAGTGCCCAGATTTGTTTGTGTGGAGCAGGCAGTGGTTATCATGAATGGGGGCAGGGAGGAGGAGCCACAGGAGAAAAAGAGGTGGAAAAGAAAGAAAATCTATCATATCACTATACACCCGATGTAAATGCAGGGGAGCCCTGGATAAAGGCCTTTGATGCTGTGGTCAATGGGCCAGCACAGGATGGAGACCCAGCATTTCAGGAATGTGCTCGGCCAACAAAAGAAGAGCCCGCAAGGCTTCCAGCCCAGCTGATCAAATAATCCTTGTCCATCTCAAAATACCATACCAGAAGTAGTAGGGGTTAACAATATTTTCATCTTTCCATCTCTTCCTGCCTGGCTTTCCATTGATCACGTAACTTAGCCGACTTTATTTAATGAACAGAGGGTCAATGCATTCAATTACCCCTTTCCCACCATCAACACTTCAATTAGCCCCTCTCCAAAATTATGGGGAATGCAGAAGGTAACTGCCCTGTTGGATATAATGAACAGTATCGTTTCTTAGTACATTAAGTTTTAATTATTCCGAGCATGATTTCCAAAGCAAAATCTAAAGAAACAGAACTTTGGTTGTCTTCTGACTCAGGATAAGGCTAGAATTGGAGCACAGCCTTAGACGAGATTTTAGGGAAAGATACAGAGATTAATGTCGTCGGAGAGTTTGCACGCGAGCCAGAAATGAGGGAGCATCAAAACACCCGCCCCGCTTTCTAAATGTCATAAAAGAGTAAAAATTTTAAGCCACTGCTTTCCAAATAGTCTCCCTTTGCATTGTACACGGAGGCAGAAATGACATCTACTATGGTGTGAAATTAGTGGTGAGACAAATCAACAACAACAACAACAAATAAAACAAAGGGGAAAGATGGGGAAGTGATCTGTGTGACTAGTTTTGTCCATTTTCTGTTAGAAAATATGACCTCTCAATTTGTCAAAGGTCCTAGTTTTCGCAGTTGATCTTAAGCTTGGTTCTCAGCAGTTTGGAGAGCCAAAGAACAAACACATTTTCTGGTTCACTGGAATCATTTTCACATGTTCACTGATTCAAACATTCTTTTGCTCACATAACAAACAGCTGCATCCCACATTAGCCTAGCCAGTGACAGTCGCCCATCTCGGCAATAACTGTTTGATTGCAAACTTGACCCCTTCTTCGTCTCGGTCTGAGCAAGACATTTTTAAACAGCCACTCTGTTCCAATCCTCCTTTGCAAAGAATTACATCTGATAACAAAGGACGTCTCTGCCACTCATTGTAAGCCTTCTTCTGGAGATCTGTTCTAAGAGGCTCTCTGTAAAAAGGTTTTTTATGATGAATTCAGAACTACTATCATGTTAAGAGCAGCGATTTATAAAGAAGAATTCATTGGTTAAGATCTGAAAAAATAGTTTCTCAGGCCCTACTGACCCAGTTTTCAACAAAAAAAAGAATCAAGTGATGCAAATTAAGTTTTGCGACATTGTTATGCAGTCTGAGAAATTTGTAAAACCGTGTTTTTGCAGTTATTTCTTAATAGAAGCCTTAATAAGTACTTTTTTCTTTACTTAAGGGCTTAAAGATTTTTTTTCTCCCCTTCACCTTGCAGGTTTCTCTCTAACAGGTAATAATAAAATACCTATTGTGTCAAGATTTTTATTTAAATGCTTATTTTAATCGCACTTTATACAAATCAGACTTGTTAGAAATAAGAGGGAAGACTAACCCGATTTGGTTAAGGGTCCTAATCCCAGGAAAACTTGAATGGCCCAGGCGTGCGACTGATTTAGGCTGCATATTGGTATGCCATCAATTTTCCTACTTAGTCAGAAAATTATGAAAGGGTCTAATTTGAATATGAAGAAAACAAAGAAGTCAACCAGAAATGAAAGAATCAGTATTCACAATTGTACGATACTTCAATGAGGGAAATAAAAGTGAGAAGATAACCACAACTCAAGTATAATTCTCCTTTGAGTCCCAAGCCCGGTTGGTTCTTTTAAGCAAAATGGACTTCTTTCAACAGAGTATTTAGAGATTTGGAAACAACAGAGATAGGAATAGCATGAGGCTATCACTTGGCCAGAAGGTGAGAAAAACACGGTAAACACGTCATTAATAGAGCCGAACATTTGGTGTCGGAATATTCTGCTGAGACCTTTTCATTTCAGCGGGGCTGGGAGACGGGTGAAAATCTGTCAGTGTTAACTCCACGTCACTCCAAAAAGTTAGGAAAGCCAGTTTGTGCTCTGCTTTCTGCCCCAGAAAGGTCCCCAATCCAAAAACCGTGAGGTGACACTCTCCAGGAGAGGGGACCGTCTCACAGGAGGCCGGAAGTAATCCGTCCTGACAATGGGACGCCTGGCACTTTGCTGCCTTCCTGCACAAAGATCCACCTCAGAGCGCTCGCCGTCCGGCAGCGACACTGGAGAACCCTTGCCTGGGTTCTGGGCGGTGGTCACTCCAGGCAACGTGGCCTAGCCCTCCGTGGTGCTGCAGTCCTCCTCAGACGCTTCCAGAGTGTCTCAGCAGAAGTGAACTGCAAACGAGGCTAGGACTCCAGGAGTAGACAGTGTGTTTCATGGGTGTTTAAGCAGCGGCATTAAGTGCTATCGGAATCTCTGGAATGTGCAGTGCAGATTTATGTGTCTTAACAATTCTTTACTGGTTCGTAATAAGCCAGCGGACTCACACTTTATTTTAATACTAATTTTTTCCTAGAAGAAGGGAATACTGATGCATGACAAGAACAACACAACTAATCTGGCATCTACTTAATAAGTGTAGCAGTGAATTGCCTCCAATACTGAAATATTTATCGAAACTGAGAAGGGAAAAAAAAAGAAAAGGGGAAAAAAAAACTTAAAAAATGACCCTCACCAGGGTGTTGCCACATCTTTAACAGTGGGCAATGCAGTGCCTTGAGGTGCCTCAAACTGTCTTTCATTTTCTAGACTTAATGGCTGATTGCAGAAATCAATGTTGCCATTAGTAACAGGGTATTTGTTATGGCATGATTTCCTCTGTTGTTAGGCTGCAGAATGATTACAGTATTAGCGAGATGCTTTCTTTATAAAGGGCTAGAGATATAACTTTCAATTTACTATCCATTAGTAAGGGGCTTTGGAAATATGGATGAAGGCAACAAGCTTACCTGCTGTTAGGTAGTGATTTTAATTTAGCTGTCTTAGGATAGTGGGATATTTTTTTTTCTTTTTTTTTTTTTACCCCTCAAACTGGGCCAGGAAGCTTCAGCATTTCGCAGACATTTTGATGACAGATTTTCTGCTTTGCTATTTTAGACCCCAAAGCTGTATCGCCCGTGTAACACAGTACAATTTAAGACATGAAGTCGCGCATCTGTGTTTCAAACCTCTGTGTTTTTCCAAACCATCAGAGGAGAATGGTGTGGTTCTTCAGGCTATAGAAACCTGGCAGGTGAACCGAGCTGTACTTTTGGAAGGGGACTGGAGACATGTTAGGTCTAAGGAGAGACAGTGAAAGAACCAAATGAGACAATTATGGGCATACACCTGGGGGGATAGATCGTGAAGGTCTGAACTTACACAATTACATCCATGGAGGGAGGCAAACGGTAGCTCCTGGGTTCCTGAGGTGATGGCAGATGGGGGTCAGGGAACGAAATGGGGCCAGGCAATCGGAGGGGCAAGGTAGGCTATGCCCGCTGGCAAACATACCAACTGGCCACCTCTCCACCACACAGGAGAAGGACTGACTGACTTTCCTGGTGGCCAGGGCTCAAGGGAAGGTCACAGAGTTGAAATGACAGCCTTCTCTCAAGGCAGGGCCAACAGGCAAGGTCCACACAGCATGAGCACCACGCCGCAGTGACCTCAGAGCTGACCCTGAAGAGCAGTGAGGCCCCTTCCCTACCGAGGCCAGCACAGAATCAGGCCCCTGGGGAGGGAGAGCCCTGGCTCTGGCCACTGTTCCCCATCTCCCCCAACAACCTACCTGAGGAGGACGGCGAGGAGGGGTGCGGGCTGTCCTCCTGGGCGCTCCCGGTCTGCGAGAGCCCGCCTCCGACCCCGCTCTCCTCGGTGATGTTGGAGGAGCCGGGCGTGGTGGAGCGGCTCACCGACTGGGACTCCTGGTCGCTGCCCGAGCCACGCCGCTCGTCGGGGCCCCCGTGCAGCCCGTCCTCGTCACCCTTGCGGTCCCTCTTGTGGACACGGGAGTGCACGACCACCTGGTGGTAGGTGCGGAACACTCGGCCGCAGTCTGGGCACTCGGTCGGCTTGTCCTTCAGGCTCCCGGGACCCTGCAGGTTATACTCGAGAGCCTGGTTGAGCCCGTGTGACAAAAAATCCCGACTGCCTTCTAAAGGGTCGAGCTTATTTGGCAGGTCTCTCTGATTGCCCACTTTAGTGCTGTGAACCAAATCAGCAGGCATTTTCTGCTTGGAGCCATCTGCTCCCACTAACACGTACTCCCGCTTCTCCTTATCAAACAGAACTCCGGCGTTTGCCAAAGTGTCTTCGTGGTTGCGCTGGAGCTGGTGCTCTTTAGACAAGAAGCCGTGTTCCATGGCCATGCCCCTGGCCATGAGCTGCCAAGCCTGGTAGCTGTTCACGGGGTCCATCTCGGCAGCTTTGGCGGCCGCCTGCAACCGCTCGATGCAGCTGGATTTCAGCGGTGGCACCAGGTTGAGGCATCCCAGGAGGGAGTGCTTGTCACCCTCGGGGACACCGTGGGCCATGCTGGAGATGGGGGTCAGAAGCTTCCCCACCACCTCCTTCTCCTTCAGGGGCAGCTCGCCTTTGCCGTAGAGCTGGCTGGGCTCGCTCAGGCTGGCTTTGTCTGCGGCCATGAAGCCACTCTGCAGGCAGGAGAGATACCTGGAGTACAGGTTGGCATGGGCCTCCTGGGACATGCCGCCCATGGGCACAGGCACCTCGGGGTCGCTGGGGGACTTGTTCTTCACGGACAGCTTGTTGAGGTGGACCTTCATGTGGTTCTTCAGGAACCAGGGCTCTTTGAAGCGCCGGCCACAGATCTGGCAGCAGTGCTCGAAAGAGTCCTTGTGCTTCCGCATGTGGCCCTTTAGGAACCACGCCTGGCTGAACACCTGCCCGCACACCTCGCACCGGAACTCGCTGGCCGACTGCTCCCCGCCGCCGCCGGGGCCCTGGCCCTGGGCCGACTCGGCCGTGATGTGGGCCTTCTCCACGTGGCTTATGAGCTCCTCCTCCTGCGAGGCGGCGAAGTCGCAGAGCGTGCACTTGTAGGGTTTGTGCAAGATGCGGATGTGGCGGTCCAGCTCCTCCCGCTTCTTGAACTTGCCCTTGCAGAAGGTGCAGCGGAAGCCAGCGGCGGGCGCCACCGCGTCCTCTTGCACGCTGGCCGGCTTGGGCGAGGGCACCGGGTTGGCCACGTCCGGCACGCTGTGGTTGGTGGGCAGGGCCAGGTTGCAGGCGGCCAGCGGGGCCTGCTGGGCGTGCGCCAGGGGCTTCAGGTCGGGCCGGGGCTGCAGCAGGCTGCTCTTCATCTGCTTGTCCCGCAAGATGGCCCTCTCCTCCAGCTCGTGCAGCAGGCGGTTCTCCTCGCGCACCCGCCCGCGCCCCTTCCCCAGGTTGCCCAGCTTGTGGGTCCGCAGGTGGATCTTGAGGTTCCCTTTCTGCGCCGCCCGGTGGTCGCAGTACGGGCACTTGAAGGGCTTCTCGCCGGTGTGAGTGCGCATGTGCAGGGAGAGGATGCTGTTGAAGCGGAAGCGCTTGCCGCAGAGCGGGCACGGGTACTTCCGGTTTTTGCGGGCGTCGTCCTCGATGTCGCTCATCTGGGACATGATGCCCAGGTTCTGACCGTTGAGGAACTGCTGCAGATCCACCCGCCCGTTGAGGCTGGTGTCCACGTCCCGGCCCAGCTGGTTGGCCAGGAGCGCCATCTGACTGCCCATGGGCTGGCCACTCATGGGCACGTGGGCCTTCTCGTCGAGAGGCGCGGGGGTCTTCTCCTCGGGGTTGGGCCGCGGATGTAGCTCGGGGAAAGCATGGCTGAGCTGGGAGGTGATCTGGTGCAACTTCTGACTCATGGCATACTGGCCGTTGAGGACGGGGCCGCTCAGATGGGGCTCTGCTTCCGGCGCCGCTGAGGACACTCCAAGGCACAGACTGGCTTCTTCCATCCCTGAAAATAAAGAAAGAGTTCAGATCTGTGCCAGGTACCGTGGCACAGTGAATCAACAGCATCAGCTGGTGGGGAATTTGCATTGCATGCCTTACCTACACATAATAATGCTAAGGAATTATAGTCAAAAACAATAATAAAAAAATGAATTATTAAATGCCAATTATGCAATATGGCATTGCTCCTCCAATTTGTTTTGGCGATAGATCGTCTTCCTTGTATTTTCTATTTACAGACTGCAATTATTCATTCACGTTTAAATTATTAATGTTTTACCACTTTCAACACCTAATAACAAATCAGGGGTCTACGTGTTAAACTTTTCCTCCTCTCCCCACTTCAGCACCTGCACCTGTTGGTTCAGTTCAGAGTTTGTCACAGAGCAGAATGGCTTTAACTGAAAGACCAAACTGACTCACTTGGAACTTTTGTTTCTGGTTACTATATTCAATATATTCGCCAGTCAGAGATGAAAGAGATTATTTTATGATTTGGCCAAAAAAAAAAAAAAATCCAACCCAATGGCACGATATTTACTGGTACATAATAAAACAAGATAATGTTTTGGGAAAAAATAAAGTAAAGGACAGGCTTTAGAACAATAAAAGGGATTTTGCTTTAGTCAACAAAAAGTGCAGTAATATCTCATTAAGCTGATTAGTATGCTGCTTAGAAACAGTACTAGGTGCTGTAACACATGATTATAATCATAAAAATCCTTCAGTGTTTGCAAGGAAGCATTAACGAGGTATATTAAATTTTAAGGAGACTGCGAGTAGCGGCTTTGCAAACCTTAGAGATTAAGATTTAACCCTTCTGTTACAAAACACTGTTATTTTGTTATTTGGTAACCGTGCCCATCGAAAGAAGTATAAATTATCTCATGATGGAATCATAGTGGATTGTTGAGACTGCTCAAATTTGGGTAGGGGGTAAAGACTTCCACCGCAGAGTGGGCTTACCCTGTCCTTCAACTGGCATGGTATCTGCAGCAGGGACTTTGATTGGGCTTAAAGAGATCTTTTATAGAACTGGATAAAAACCAATTAAAATCCAGGGAAGATGCCATAGGAAGTCTCAACCAAGTTTGAGTGTTTTTAATAACTTTCCCAATATACACTAATGAGTACAAATTGTACCTGCAGTATGTGTTTTGCAGAAAATTAGAACTCAAAGCTGTTTGTTAAACACTTAACACTCAAAGCAGGTCTGCATAATTGTCTTTAATAGTCCTTTCTGCCCCTTTGCAGCCTATGCAGAATGGCTAAAGCCAGATCGTTCTGGGATGGGGCAGAAGGAATAGTCCCCTCTATATTAGAGCATGTGGGGAGCTCAACTTTGAAAGGCACTGAATCCATGCCTGGGGCCCTTCCATTTCCAGATCTGTCTTCCACTTGAAGGAGTCCAAATTTGTTTCCTGCCACTGGAACAGTTATTACACATCCATCCCCTTTGTATCCCAATGTTTAGATGTGTTGGCCAGCCAGGTGGTCCAGGAGTACGGCTTAACCCCAGCCATGACTGATTCCTGGGCCAAGCAGTTCCCCAGGGGGACGTGTGGGGACAGAGCTCAACTGTGGAGGAAGCACATTCAGCCCTGGTGGGGTCGGCTGCCTACTGGGCTTCCCGCCAGGCAGACTGTGTGTGGATGGAGGTTCTCCAACGGGAGACCTGACTTCCTTGGCAAGAGGACAGAGGCTGTGAGTCTGTCTTGCAAGAGAGGAGAAGAAAAAGACATGAGGTTTATTTCCAGGAGGGAGAGAAACCGCAACCCTGGTGCAGGGTCAACTATCCATGAGCAACTACACACACTCACACACACAGACAAGCACGTGGTCACTGGGAGTAAAAGAATGCTTTCAATTTGTCTCTGGTGGCAGTCTGTACTCAAAAAATAAAAAGAAGAAAGGAAGGAAGAAAGAAAGAAAGAAAAAAGATCATTTTGGAGCCTGGTCAAAAAGGAGTAATTTCTCAAGGAGTTTCTTGCATTCATTCAGTAGACTTGCTGAGTTTCCACCATGTGCCAGGCCCTGTCCTTGGCACTGAAGATGCACGAGTGGATAAGACTGGCCAGCCCCAGCACTCATGGCATCCGCTGACCAGCAAGGAGGAGCAGGCCCAGTGTGAGAAGCTGTTGGAGCGGGACTGGGGCGGAGAAGGGCCCTGTCTAGAGCCGTTTCACCACCTTGGAGCCCCATCCAGCTGCTCTGGCTCCTCTCCTGAGCAAACACGGATCATAACCCCAAAGCCATTTGGGAGTGCTCAGAATTCCACCCAACAGCTCTGGGGAAGTTTGGAAAGTCCAAAGCCAACACGGATGGCCCACTGCCAAAGGCTGCCCAGTTGGCCTGCTCAGAAGACATGAATCCAGGAAGACGGGCTATTTTCAGGTTACTGCTGCTGAACTGACGCCAGTTAAGCAGGAGGGAGAGGAGGCTGAATATGCAATGCAGCAAGACTGCACATCAGATTGGATGAGCAGCATCAAGTTGAAGACCACATCCCCCACCCCCAGTCATGCTGTAGACGTAACAGCTCAATTTGCCAAATACTGAACTTGAGGAGTTTTCAAGTTAGGTTTGAATATGGAATTCTTTTATTATGCTCAATTTATTTTTTCCCCCACAGTCAACAAAGCTTTTTTTAAACACCCTTTAAGCAACCAGTCTTCAGGTGCCATTGTTGACTACAGAATATTCAAGAATATGATAAGGCACCGGCGGCTCCAGCCCCTCATGCAGGTCTCAACTACATATCCCCTTCTCACAAAAACCCTCCATGTCCACCTCGTCACAGAAAACTTAAGCCCCAAAGCCTCTCTCTACCCCATTATCTTACTTTCTTCCTCAGGGCACTTATCACAGGAGGGGGGGCAGTTTTCTTATTGACCCTCTTGCAGATGTGCAGGCAGGATCATGTCTTCCTTGGCCACAAATAAAGCCTCAGGGCCTAGAGCCGAGCTGGATCGTTGTAAGTTCAGATCGTTATAACTGAATGGATGAATGATCGAACAGACCCTATAGACACAGCCCATAAACGAAGGCTAGCCTGTAGTAGAAACACTTCCACTCCAACTTCATGGAAATCAAATTCAGCTTTTGCACAAGTCTTTGAACATCCAACAATCTGAATCTGTCAGAGTCAGAAAGGTCTTGGGTTTCCACCCAGAATCTGGTGGTCCAGAAGCAGCCAAGGGAGAACCATGCCCCTGCACCAGCACTTTCACTATAAGTACTCATGGTGGCCATCTGGGCTTGGATCACCTCTGATGGCCCAGCTGCTGGCACTAGGAGACAGAGCAATTAAGTCCTTCAGAACTTGATCATCCATCCTGGGATCCATGGGAGAACCCAGAATTTCAGCAGAGCTGGAGGAGATGCTCTGAGGATTATGGCCCTCAGCTCCTCTATTGAGCCCCAGGAAAGACTGTGCTGAGCCCCACGGTATGGCAGGGTCAGACATCATCTCAGAATGCTCTGTGAGACCTGACACCCTGTGATTCCATGAGCAGGTGCAGGCGCAGCCATGGGTCAGTCACACCAATGCCAGCTGATAGACTCAGAGCAAGAAAGGGGAGAGTGAGTTCTTGGAAAGAGCAAGGGGTAATTGGTGCGCTGTCCCTGGGCCAAAGCAGCCGAGGCAGGACGAGCTGGCCCCGGGCCCAGCCTGAGACTCACAAAACCTGGGTCAGCCCCAATTTCTCCAGCCTTGATACTTCACCCATCCGGAATTCATTTACCCCTTATCTCACTCATTCAATAAATGCTTGCCTGGGGCCTTTATGTAACTGCCCTCAAGGGCTTCTGGGTCAAGGGGGCCAGTGCAAGCAAAGCCACCAGTAAGAGGGAAGCAATGAAAAGTCCCCAGAGAGACTGAATTCAAAGTTTAGAGAATTTGCAATCGAGGTGTATAGGGGGGTGTGTGTGTGTGTGTGTGTGTGTGTGCGCGCGCACGTGAGTGTGTGTGTACAGGAATATGACTGTGTTAGGGGAGGGGCAGCAAGCCCTTAAGTGAATTTCCTCTAGCAAGAAATACAAGAAATCCCTGGGAAACTAAGGGATCACTTATCCTACTGATAAAGCAGCCCTAAGAGCTCAGGGCCTGGGAGGTGGGGCTGCCTCCAGGGGCTCGTGGTTCTGGCAGAAGGTGGCATGTCTCCTATTCCCCAGCCCTCAGGGAGCGAGTGCAGGGAGACTGCCTTCCCTTTGGGACCACAGCACTTCCTCCCAGAACTGCAGGGAACACGTGTCAGTGTCCCTGGCAGACGCTGCCCTGTCCTGACACAGGGGGCAGACACACACATCCACAGACAGCACTGCCCCACATTGTCACTAATAACCTGGGAGCACTTTATCCTGAGTACCAACCCATCCTTCACGCCCCAGCCCTGGCTCTGGAGCCGTCACCCTGTGTTCCAGCCGTTGAGGGACCCACACTGAGATGCCAGGAGCCAGTACAGGGTAGGCCACGACCCCGGGCTGAAGGCAACTGGGCAGCTGGGACCTTCTGAGGAACTTATACAGTAAGCCATCTAACCCTCTCACCTCGGTAGGAAAACCGTTAGCACAATCAAAAAGCAGTAAACAAACTATTAAACATGGAGGACAGCTCGCCCAGCTGTCAGCTTGTGGCCCCAGCCCAAACTGTAGCAGGAAGATCAATAAACCCTGGCTGACTAATGGAAGGAACCAAATGATACGGAATTTACTGAACGGTAGACAGGCAGCCAGATGAGGCTGGGAAGGGGATGCTGTGAACTGTCGATTCGGGTGTGTCAGCCCTCCAGCATGGAAACACTGCACATCCCACCCTATCCTGAGCCCAGGGGCATGGTGGGGCATAGGGGCACTCAACCCTACTGTCCGTATTAAGGAAGACCCAGGCCCGGGCCTGAGTCCTGGGCATTCCTCACCTGAAAATGCCAGGCCCCCCTCTGAACACAGGCAGTGGCCCCAGCTGAAAGCTTCTGAAGCCGAGAGGGTTTCTACTTGAGCTCTG